TACAAGAAATTCAAGATATAGGGATTTTTTTTGCCACGTCCTGGTCGATTTTCCAGGCATTTTTCAGCCCCTGGGTGTGAGAAAATGGGATTTATCCCAATTTGAGGCACCGATTGCCCAGAGGAGAACGAATTTGGCTGCTCAAAGCAGATCAGAGGGACGAGGAGTGACATCCTCTCCCCGGCATTAATTTGCCGTGGGACGTGGGGAGGAAACACATTTATTACAAGAAAATACATTTAAACTCTCCCTTGCCAACAGTTCAAACTCTTCCTGGGGACAAAAAAACCAGCCCAGGGTCCCTCGCGGGCCCAATTTTCAATCCCGGGTGGAAAAAATTCAACATATTTTATGTTTTTTCCCAGGAAAAAGCAGATTTTGGGAGCTTTTCTGGCTCTGCAGGATCAGGGGAAAAAACTCCACCTGCACCCTCAGGCAACAAATGTTGTCTCCCGGGAATTATTCCCTGTTTGTTGACAGGGCGAAGTTCCAGCTGGGGCCGTAAAAAAAAGGGGCCATAAAATTCAGGGATAACGGGAACGTTCTCCGGTTGCCGTAAAAGGGGCCATAAAATTCAGGGATAACGGGAATGTTCGCCGGTGGCCGTAAAAGGGGCCATAAAATTCAGGGATAATGGGAATATTCTTTTTTTTTTGCTTGTTTGGAGGGTAATAAACCAGTTGGTGGGGTGGTTAAAACCCAACCAGCCCTGGGGTTTCCTTGGAATCTCAGGAGTGGCCGGAATTTTCCGAGATATCCCGGCAGGGACCATCTGGCCGAGGGATTTTCCCAAAGGGGTGGGTGAAAAAAAATAAAAAAAAAGGCTCCTCTGGAGGCTGATCCAGAAAGATCCTGACACTAATTCCAGGTTTTTAAGGTTTTCTGGGATGAGTTTTTCCTTGTTTTCCTGGGTTTTGTCCCCCCTACTCTCATCCTCCTGCCTGGGGCTGGGGGAGCTGCTCCAGCAGCTCTTGAATGACACAAAGATCCTTTTCCAACCAGTCAAATTCCATTTAAACGGCTTTTTTTCCCAGCTTTTTTTACCTGGAATGTAAATCTGAGAGGAGAAATTTCCATTGCCATTCAGCTCCTTCCCCTTTGCAAAGGGTTCCACATTTTCCCTCTTCCTTCTCTCTCTTTTTTAATTATTATTTTTATTTTTTAATTATTATTATTTATATTTTTAATTATTTTTTTACTTTTTAATGATTGTTATTATTTTTAATTCTTATTTTTAATCATGATTTTCATTTTTATTATTATTTTTATTTCTTAAGTATTATTTTTACTTTTTAATTATTATCTTTACTTTTTAATTATTATCTTTCTTTTGAATAATAACTATTATTTTTAATTATAATTTTTACTTTTTAATTATAATTTTTAC